TACTCAGCCAACATTAGAAATCATTTTTCTTTTTACTCTTCGGTAACAACAACATCATCTGCATCACAAGGTAAAACTAATGAGCAAGAACTCAGTAAGTAGATTTCAAATAAAGTAAGTATCTAAAATCTCTGTGGCTAAAATCTCTTTGTTAATCATTGTTCATAAACTTTCATACTTATTCTTAGTTTAGGTATGATACAGAACTTCGGTTCCAGGTAAGCGTCTCTATACAGGACATTCTCTAATTTTGGTCAATTCTCTTCTCTTAAACACTAAGCGGGGTTTTTAGAATCTTTTTTTGATCAACAAGAAACTTCCCACTAACATTTTTCTCTAGTTGTCTCAAAGAGACAGTTTCTCTAATTTAGGGTACTGGTCCCTCGCACCCCTGCTTACCCAGCCTCTCATCCATATATCATACCATAAAATATCTTAAAACAAAAAAACATAATAAGTATAAATCATAATCTCTTTCAAAATAATTAATCATGAATACTCTTTGAACATAATCATATAAGAATTTCATAAGAGAATAAACTTGCATAATCACAATTCTAAACAAGTTAAGTCAAATAGGTCTTGTGATGCAGTTTTGAAAATGCTTTAACTCTACTTACCTGAATTTTGATAACCACTTTGCAAGCACAAACTAACTGGTTGTGGGGAGCCTTCAATGTGCTAATTAACCTTTAAAAATCATAATTTTCAAAAATCACATTCATATCATCATTTAACAAACACATAACTACGCAATATTACGAAAATATTTATAACGAATTCATCAAAACTCAAAATATTATGAGACCAGTGGCAAATAAAAGTAAACTCAAAACCCTCTTTTTAGAGCTACTACATGATAGGTTTCGGATTTTTCAAACTAACTAAAAACTGCCCGAAATCCAGATTGAAGTATAATCTCGTCAGGAAAATGAAAGCTTTTTAACTGAACTTATAAAATTCATAACTAAATGTAGAAAAATCCGTTTGGAGGGATTCAAAAACTCACGTAAAGCTTGAGATGTATACTTTAATAAAAAAATATAAGATCTGTCAAAATCATAAGTATATATAGCACGGAAACAGAATCTACATAGGCTGTGCAGAGGACTTATATTTAAACATTTCATCAAATACCTAGCATGCATATCTTAATCTTCAAAGACCACTCTCAAATACATGAATCATCATCTTAATAAGAGTTTATCTTCAAATAATCATCAATAATATCAAGCTAAAATCATCAATTTCACCCAGAAACCAATATTTGAACCAAAACCTCGAGAACTCATTTTTAAGAGTCTACAACCAACATGCATAATAAGCCCCATCAAAAATCCAAATCTCAAGTAGGATTTCAACATCTTAATTTCTGAAATCTTAGTTTCTAACATAAGAAAGAAGTTACCTCAAAGAAAAACGTGTTCCCAAGTGAATAGAAGCTCAAAACTTGGTGGTTATTTTTGGTTCTAGGTTGAAAACGAGTTGAGATGGGCTGGTTGAGTCTTTAGCTCATTCTCTCTTAAAAACTTAGGTTTGATTCTGAGTTTTGAGTGAGAAAAGGAGTGAGAAGAGACAAGAAAGTGCTATGGTCGGAGTTCTAGGGTTTCTTGCTGAAATAGACCCAAAAATGAAGTCTAAACTTAATAGAAACTAAACAAAAATAAAGTGGCATTATAATAGAACAAGGGCCTAGGTTTTTCTAAGCCTCTAATAGCTATCATAACCTCATACAATAAGCTATAAAGTCTCTATTTTTCTTCTTCAATTAGGTGCCTAAAGTTCACTCAATTTGCTAACATAGACTTCTCTCACCAAAAACTCAAAATAACAACTAAGTCCTCAACACATTTACATAAAACCATATAATAAAAATATAAAATAATGATTCATCATTAAATAAATCATAATAGAGGTAAAATATCATATCCAATAATCATAATAAATATCATTTTTCTTCATAAGTTTAGCACATTGAGTTCCCACATCGAGCTAGTCGCACTGCACATTAAAACTTAAAACTCGATTAGCAAAGCTATAAGTTTAATAAAATCATATGATAGCTATAATAATAAAATATAATGCCAACAAATAACTTTGAGATAAATGGTAAATGTGGTGCATGATTTTAATTTACTAAATTATTTATTATTGGCTTAAGGCTTAATTAAATCTTGGGTATTACAAAAACCACTAGATTCGGGTTCTAAGTACTAAATCAAGTCCAAAGAACTCAAGATCTCTAATTTCTACCATAGTTTTACTCAAAATCCATCAAAATCCATTTCGAACCAAAATAAGTTTTTAAATCCGAAAAGCTTGAGATTCAAGAGAGGTTTTTTCAGAAATCTTACCTCAAATCCTTCTCTTGATGTTGGAAACTCTTTGAAATTCCTCTTTGGTTCGAGATCCGGTTGATTTGAGACAAAAATGGGAGAGAGAGAGTGAGTGAGTGAGAGAGAGAGATGGAGAGTATGCACGGGAAGGGAAAAAGAAAAGGAAGAAAAAGAAAGAAAAAGAAAAAGAAAAAGAAAAGAAAAATGGACAGGTGTCAAAAATTTAAAATGACAGTCCAGAAATGTGCCCATACACACTTCTGGGTAAAATGTAAACACTGAGAATATTTAAATACCTTAGAATTATTTAAATTCACTCGTTAGAAACATTTATTAACAAGTAATCAATTAATTAAACCAGATTAGGCACACTAATAAATCTTAATTACCTTAATTAATCCCGTTTAATTCTTCGGGGTGTTACAATTTCTCCCTAAACAAAATGCTAAAAACATAATCCAATAACCGAAACTTTAACCTTTAGACATTAGGTTTTTCGGTACCGCTAACTTCCATAAGCAAATCATCATTCTTGGCAATTTTTTTTTTCATAATCTCTACTGTTCATGGAACTGCATATGGTAAATCTGAGATGCCATTTCTTCTGTCGTTTTTGTTTAGGACTTTTGTGAGATGGGTTTTCTCGGATATCAATGGGAAGACAAGAAATGACAAGAAAACGCCCAAACGACAATGATGGGTCTAGAGCTAGAGGCCCTTTGCCATAAGCAAAGAGTAAAAGCTTGAAGTTGGCAAGCCATGTAATAAAAAACGAAGTAGTAACTCCAAGATTTACGGAAGTGAGTTTAAGTGGAAGCATTAAAAAAAGGCACACAATCGGAATCACAAAAATGAGTCTTTTAGTACCTTTTGAGACTGTTTTTCCAACGACATAGCAATAAGACAGAGATGCCAAGACTAAAATCCATACCTTAAAGAGGTTGTTTATTTCGCCCTCCATTATTTCCTTTCCCTCTTATGATATTCTGTTGCCTATAGACATACAAATATGGTGAGGCTAATATCTTATGAGAATCTTGATCTTTCCACATATCTTCTACCTCAGCATGTATATCTTGAACTCCCACTTCTGCATCATCTCTGCTTTTCTACATAATCTTTTTTTTTTTTGAATTTACCAATAAATTGCCAGCTAAAATTCCTAACAGTCAACTCTCACCTATCGGTCAGTAGCCGATCAACCAAAACCAATAGGTTTGTAGTACTTTAACCATTTTAATAACTGCAACTTGTAATATAATATACATACATACATACATACATACATATATATATATATATATATATATATTCACATGCATAGTTGAGCCCGATTAATTTTATGAGCGAATAATATATTATGATAATCATAAAACTTAGGAAACATAAGAAACAATTTGAAAATGCTTGCTGTGAACTTCCGCGAAAGTGCACGAACCGATTTTGCTTTCCTTTTTGTGGCGTTTTCTCTTAAAGCTGCGTTTGAGAGGAGGGAAGGGATGAAAGTTAGACAGATGAACGTGAGTTTTTATTTCAAGTTGTTTCAGATTGATAGGAAATTAAGCATTAGATGATTATCAATTTTTTTATTGCTAAATATAAGAGGAAGAAATGATATATATATATATATAAATATGTATATATTTATATATATATTGTTTTATAAAATTACTTCAGTATAAAATGACTTTACCACCTATAATACACTTAAACAACTGAAATTTATTTCTCATCTCAGTATATCTTGGGGGTAAATATAAGAGGAAGAAATGATATATATATATATATAAATATGTATATATTTATATATATATATTGTTTTATAAAATTACTTCAGTATAAAATGACTTTACCACCTATAATACACTTAAACAACTGAAATTTATTTCTCATCTCAGTATATCTTGGGGGTGAATTTCATTTTTGGTCTATGATATTTAAAATAACCTACAATTATTTCCCGTTCTACAAAATTGTTCTTTTAAAGTTAAGGGATCCATTAAAAAATATATGAAAAATAAATGTGACGGTCATGTGATACGTCAGTATGAGTATATAATCGAGTTATATACTATTTGGGAGATTTTTTAGTACGTTTGGCGTATTAGTAGGCCAGATTTTTTTAATTGTTAAATCTGCATACTTTTTAATTTTTACGTGATTTTATGCAGATTAAACGATCAAAAAAGTTAATCTACTAGTATGTTGGTGTACTAGAAAAAAAAGGTCATACTATTTTTATCCATTTTCTATTATCATTATTTTTTGTCCATAAGTGAAGGATAAAAAACTATGAAGAGTATTCCAAAGTAGCAGCCCCAGCCTTCTCCGTTCGTTCCATAATTCTCCCAAACAACCAAAGGACGCCCTCCCACTTTTTCTCTAATTTTCCTGCTTCCTTCCTCAAACACTTCCCACCAAACACACCCTTGAGTTTTCAGAGAATATACTAGGAAGAACCCAAGAAGCTTTACTGCATGTCTTTTGTTTTTCATTTAATTTCCATGGAAGAAGCTATATTAAAGCCATATAATACACAAGAGGTACGCGTGGCAGATTTCTAGCTATTTATTTGCAAGAACTAACTAGCTAATTATCTTTATCATCTTTATAGCACCAAGTCATTTTAAGGTTGTGTTTTTTTTTTCCGGTCAGGTTTCGGAAATGGCTGGTGCTTCTTCCTCTTACTTTCCAGATAAAAAATATGACGTTTTTATCAGTTTTGGGGGTAAGGATACTCGTACAAATTTTCTTAGTCATCTTGTTGGTGCTTTGCATCGAAAGAAGATCAGAATCTTCATGGATGAGAAGGATCTAAAGATAGGAGATCAAATTTCACCTGCGCTTGAAAAAGCAATTGAGGGTTCAACAATCTATGTGATAATTCTCTCAGAAAATTATGCTTTTTCATCGTGGTGCTTGAATGAACTCGATCATATTCTCCAATGCAAGGAAAAATATAAAAGAATTGTTGTACCGGTTTTTTACCACGTAGATCCATCAGATGTCCGGAAACAACAAAAGAACTATGCTGCTGCATTTGCTACGCATGAATTACGTTTTAAAGACGAAATAGGGAAGGTGCAGCAATGGAGGGATGATTTGAAAGCAGTAGCAAATTTATCTGGATTTCATTTATCTACTAATTTTCGGTAAGCTCCATCTTTCTCACTCTTTTCTTCTTTTTTTTTTTTTCTTTTTTTTAATCTTTTTCTTGTAGACCTCCAATTATCTTACAATTAAACACAATTAATTATGGCTGAAAAATTTGAACTACCAAAAAAAAAAAAAATCCCTTTTGAATCTTTACATTTAATTATTTTCTCTCTTTGATGTGTGGATTAGCTAAAGCTATCTTTTCTCTGTATGTTTATGTACGACTTAAATCATTGTCTAAAATTTCATTCCTGATTCCTATGACATTTTAATTTATTGGTAAATAAAAACATCTTTTAAAAGAGATTGAGTTTTCTGCAGATGAATGATATTTCTGTGACATTTAAATTTATTGGTAAATCAAGATTGGTTTAAAAAAAGATTGGGTTTTGTAATTTGAGAAATACAAAGGACATTCTTTCTGTCATTCTCTTTATCACTCTCTCCACTCACTATTTGACACGTGGATTCTACTATTTCATTTTCTGTTTAAATAAAAATATATAACGTTATTGGAGTCAATGTGTCAAACTGTGAATAGAATAAGTGACGAATAGAAAAGAGTGTTGGTAGCATTTCTCTTTGTAATTTTCTATTTGCATTAGCTTTCTTTATGATGCAAGTGGCTTTATAATTTATGGAATATTGAACATTAAACGAAAAGAAGTGAAGAAACTCGTCATGGACAACGTCGCAGTGACAAAGACATTTTCTAAGTAAACGGCAAATTAACAAAAATATGGGACAGTGGGGTCGACCCTTGTGATAGAAAGGTTGTAGCCTCGTATGGATAAAAAATATTACTAGCAAATTAGAGCTAACTCCATTGAAGTTGTTTGGAAATTTTTAAAATGGTGTGACTCATTGGGATACGTTAGACAAAGATTTGGATAAGAATATCTTAAAATGATATGCAACATATTCCCCTTTTTTTTTTTTTTTTTAAAAGATTCGAATCACAATTTAACTTTTTTATTATAATATTTTTTTTTATAAAAATTTAAATTTAAATTCAAGTTTTTACTCAAACCTGTAAAAAGTACACCCTATTTCTTTCACGATGATGTAGATTAATCAATGATTAATATGAAAGTCCAAGCTCAACTACTAATAGAATAGAGAATAAAGAAAGAGAAGTTCCAGAGTATGCCAAATCCAGTTCCTAATCATGAAGAAAAATATCCCAGGCTTGAAGATTCTTACTTAAAATACGCACGTATTTTTTTTTTTTTTTTTTTTGAGGAATCAAAATACACATAATTCTCCAAATTAAAGCCATGACTTGTGTGTGCATATATGTTTTTTTTTTCCCTTGACCTAATACAGTGACCATATCTAACGTAGTGTCAATGTTATCTTTATCTGTCACGTCTCACATGATAAATGCATGCTATCCGCACATTTATTATGCCATGCAAGACTTCATCAGACATCAATCTAAATCAATCAGAATGACATAATCAACGGCCAAAACGACAAGAAAATAAATCATTAAGATATCATAAATTAAACATCGGTCTAAAATGAAAGCCTAAACAATTTGGCCCACAAAATGTCAAACTAATTCTTGTGCTTTTTGTCTCTCTGGCGAGTCGCATATATTCGAATGACAACATATATATCACGTTTATCCTTTACTAAGACACTAACTGCTATTGTTCTTCATGTATGTCAGGTCTGAGTATGACTTAGTTGAGGCAATTCTCAAAGATATTTTGGAGAAATTGAGCTGTATATCAGCAAGCGACGATTTAAAGGGATTGATTGGAATTGAAAAGCGCGTTGAGAAGATTGAATCATTCCTAAACATTGCCTCATCAGATGTGCGTATTATATGCCTTTGGGGCATGGGTGGCATAGGCAAGACAACACTTGCCCGTGTCGTATTCAACCGAATCGCTCATCAATTTGAAGGTCGCTGCTTTCTTGAAGATGTTAGAGAGGGATCAAAAGAATTTGGACTTAAAAGTTTACAAAGAAAACTTTTTTCTGAATTATTGAAGGAAAAGAGTTTAGATACTGTCAATGGATTTTTAAGGGATGGATTTCGCCGTACTAAAGTTCTTGTTGTTCTTGACGATGTGGATGATGCAGATCAATTGGAATATTTGGCTGGAGATCGCAGTTGGTTTTGTGATGGCAGTAGAATCATCGTAACATCTCGAGATATGGAAGTGCTTAATAGTATTGGTGCTGATGAAACATATGAGGTTGAGAAGCTAAATTCTTCTGAAGCCCAACATCTTTTTAGTTCAAAAGCTTTTCGACAGAACTCTTCAACAAAGGACTATGTAGAGTTATTAGCAAGGTCGGTCAATTATGCTGACGGCATCCCATTGGCTCTTATAATTTTAGGTCGTCACCTTTTCTCTAAGAACACAAAAGAATGGAAAAGTGAATTAGACAAATTGAACAAATTTCCCAATAAAAAAGTCTATAATGTGTTGAAAGTAAGTTATGACGGACTGGATGAGAATGCAAAGAATATATTTCTTGATATTGCACATTTTTTTAAGGGCATGGATCAAGATTTTGTTAAGGGAAGATTAGATGCCAATGGCCTTTTTGCGGATATTGGAATTAGAGATTTGAGAGACAAGTCTCTCCTAACTATCAAGCACAGCAAGATTCGGATGCATGATTTGCTACATCAAATGGGCTTGGAAATAGTTCGCTTAGAATCAAAAGAGCCAGGAAAACGTAGCAGGTTGTGCTTAACTGAAGATGTCTCTCATGTCTTGAGATATAACACGGTAAGTGCCATGTGCAATGGTTATGGAGTCATTCTATTAATTGAGTAAACTTTCTATGGAAAACGATTTAACACCCAATGCGTATAATCTTTTGAATAATTGAGTTCACGGTGAACATCATACTGCGGGAAAATAGTTAAATTTGATTTTATTTATTTATTTAATTATCTCTAATTTGTTTTTAATTTCAGGGGACACCAAAAATTCAAACTTAAAGCAAATGTATAATTTAAAATTACTCGATGTTTGGGAAGATATTTTTGCCAAGCCTACAGTCTTCAAGAAGTTATACCTTCCTGAGGGTCTCGAGTCGCTTCCCAATGAGCTTAGGTATCTCCGTTGGTCCCATTACCCTTTGAAATCTTTGCCTTCAGATTTTACGATGCTAAATCTTGTTGAAATGCACTTGGGTAAGAGTCAGCTCCAGCATCTTTGGGATGGAGTCCAGGTAGGGTTTAGTTCTTCACGGTAGTTTTGAATTAATATTCTGCACATTCCTAAATCTTATAAGTTACTCTTCACATTCCTCATTGGTTTCAGCATTTTGGAAGCTTAAAGGTTCTAAATCTTCAATGCTCCGAAAACCTGACTCAAATTCCAGATCTCTCTCTGGCACTTAGCCTTGAGAAGATAACATTGAAAGGTTGTGTAAGTATGGGGAATCTTCCAAGTAGTGTCGGCAAGTTGGAATCCTTGCAATCTCTTGATTTATCTGACTGCTCAAACATTGATAGGTTTCCAGAACTTCCAAGAAGTGTAAAACATTTGATTATAAGCGGAACATCAATAGAGCAACTGCCCCCAACAATTGAGCATCTCTGTCATCTCGAGACATTTGATTTATCAGGCTGCTCAGAAGTTGACAGGTTTCCAGAACTTCCAAGAAGTATAAAACATTTGAATATAAGTGGAACATCAATAGAGCAACTACCCCCATCAATTGAGCATCTCTCTCATCTGGAGGATTTCAATTTATCCCGCTGCTCAGGCATTGACAGGTTTAAATTTGAGCGGAACATTAATCAAGCAAGTGCCCCAAACAATTGAGCATCTCAATCTTTTGAAGGAATTTGATTTAAATGGATGCTCCAGCCTTAAGACTCTTCCAAGCAGCATTCATAAGCTTAAATATCTCAAATATCTTAATCTCAGCGATTGCTTAGGGTTAGAGTACTTGCCTGAAAGTTTGGAGCCTACTGAAAAATTAACCAATCCCGCGCTGAAAGATTCTAGTTGTTCGCAGCTTGATCATAATTTTGCTCCCTTTAGTGCCTTGCACTCTTTAGAGATTCTGTGTTTGAAGGACTCAGGGATATGTGAAATCCCTGACTGGGTCCTCAGTTTACCGAAATTAGGAAGATTGGTTGCAAGCATAAAATATTCAAACTTGCGTGACTTAGCCATTAATGATTGCAATTTCCTCCAGTATCTACCAGAGCTTCCAGTCACTCCAACTGATGTTAATGCAGCACGATGCACGTCACTGGAAAAGGTGATAATATCATCGCATGAGTCTCGATTTATTCGTGACGAGCAACTTCAGTTTAATGATTGCATAAACTTGGATTGCAACACCATAACGAATGTATTAGTAGTTAGAGATGGACGCGGGTTAATCAGACTCAAAGAAGAAAACCGGTATATTACCTGTTTTTGCTCACTCACTCTCTCTCTCTCTCTCTCTCTCTCTCTCTCTGTGTGTACGTAATGTTATTATGACGAATTAACTAATCCTCAATTATATTTTTGAAATACTGGTCATATGTTCATTCCTCAGCCGCATCCCTTTCTATCTTCCTGGAGTTATCATTTCTTTTCCGGGAAATACTGGTCAAATGTTAATTCCAGAGTGGTTCAGCCATCAAAATGAGGGATGCTTTATAAATATGAAGCTTCCTCCACTCAGGTACGACACAAACATCATGGATTTTGCTGCTTGTTTGGTCCTTGCAAGGGACAACAATATTGGTGAAAGCGCCTGGAAAGCTATGTCCGATCTCTGGTTACGTCGCTTGGTGCGTGGCAAAACCATCAATGGTGAACGTTACATCGAGCTTTCTGACTGGTTCTATAGTGTAGGAAGAGATCCTTGTCTCCCTCACGTGTTCATGTGGTACTTTTATGTGACTGATGTTGAGTCTTCTGCAGTAGAGATGTCATTTCGCTTCAGTGCAGAAAATGAGTTTAATGATCAGAGGTCAAGTATCAAGGTTGAAAGGTGTGGTATTCGTATGCTGAGTGTGCTAGATGCCGCAGAATTTGGTCGTGAAGCATCTATTATCGTCAGAGGCGGTAGCGGAACCACTTTATTGTGAAACCTAAACTGTGACGATTTCTTCCTTTGTCCAATATTCAAGAGTTTCTGATCACCCATGCTACATGTAGTTCGTGAAAGTCCCTATTTTAATACTAAGAGTCTTTGTTGTTGTCCTAAACTGTTTTCTTCCTTTGTTGTTACTCAAGGTTTTGACTGAACAAATGCTAGTTAACAGTGGCGCCAAAGGAATTCTTTCTCTGCTTAATTATAGTGATTAGTTACTTGCAATTTTTATGAACATGCATCATTACTAAATCTATCAGGATAAAATATATATATATATATATATATATGTAGTTGTTGAACTACTTTGTACCGTTAGAAAAGAACCAAAAAAAAAAAAAAAAGAAGCTGAATCATATTTGGAGGATTTTTTGGTCATATAAAACAAACACTAATAACTGTTCTCATCTAACCTGTACATGATAATTGCATATGATTGATGGGCAATTACATATATATATATATATATAAATATATATATATGCGTCATAGTACATGTTGAAAATGAGTAATTACGAGTTACAACACCAATAATATGATATTAAAGAATAATGATATAGTACAGTTCCACCCAATTTCTTTTCATATGGCTGGTGATTTCTTTTTTATAAACAACTCTTTTGAGACTTTTTCCTAATAAAGTGCAAATGCGCCAAACACTTTTGGCCAATGATGGGAACATAAAACAATTAGAATATTACAAAAGACGAATAATTAAGATGAAGATTTCTCAAACTACACCCTCAAATAAATTTGCTATACCAACCGTCCGATTAGCTGAAAAATGTTATTTATCTTTGGGTGATGAAGCTCTTAAAAAACCCACCTAAAGCGGCATACTCTTGAAGCAGCCTAACATCACCCTCACACCGGAGGAGCTGAGGAAAGAACAACCAAAAGCTGGTCAACAACATAAAACCAATAGTCAACGCCCCTGAAACCACCCTTGGAAGCCGCCACGTGGTGGCATACGCCTTCTTCAAAGCGATCTCAACCGTTAAACACGATCCATGCAGGACAAAGAACCACGTGACCTCCCACGTGGGACGCACGCGGCCCAGGTAGTAGTAAATGAGTTCGTGAACAAGCCTAGGGACTACTAATATGAGAGTGGGATTATATACGGGTGACCATAAGATTCCACCTTCTTCCCCAAAAATCTTGGAGTGAGGTTAAGAGGTATGGCTCGTCGAAGTGTGGCTCGAGCTCAAGGCCCAACATGGCTCGAGCCAAGGCTGCCACAATGGCTAGTATGATCTCAAGCAAAAGATATATGAGAAGGCAAAAAAAGACCAACAAAACTTTTTGGGGCATATGTTTCTTGTAAGCATAGGCCCTAACTAGAATTCCCAAAAGTAAGGCTTTTAATAACAAAGAGTTTTGTGAGATGGGTTTTGTTTTGTTTTGTTTTTTTGTTTTTTTGGGTGTTTAAGATGTTTTTTCGGTGGGTTTTCTCGGATCGATATGGGAAGACAAGAAACGACAATAAATAGCCTTCTTACACCTTTTGGGACTATCTTCCCAATGGCATAGCAATAAGATAGAGATGTGAAGATTGAAAGCCATACCTTTATGAATGTCTTCATTTCGCCCACCATTTTCTTCTTCTGTGATAGATAGATGTACAATTTTGTTTCTTGTTGCTGGAGAGATGACCAGTTAAAAAGTACACGTGAGAGTGAGACGGACAACTAATCAGGTGTAAGCAAGCATTTAATAGTTATAGAAAGAAGATATGTTTATTTATTTATTTATTATTATTATTTTTGTTGAGAAGAAGATATTTTATTTATTTACTGTACATGTGCCCCCATCTACATAGTTTATTATTCAATGCTAATTATGTCTTTTCCCCTCCTCAACAAATATATATATATATATATAAATATATATAACCGCCGATGATAATCCAATTTCCACGTATATGTTTTTTCCCTTGACAACATATTCTTTTCTTTGGTGTTATCATCCCTTTTTTTCGTTTTTTATGCAAGTTATTATTGACTACTCTTTTCCGTTCATAGGTCGTTTTTTAACATTATTTTCCGTTTTTCATGTCTTGTCGTTTTCCTCTATTGTGGTTTAAAAAATGGTTGCTTTTCACGTTGTTTCATTATCTTTGTTAGTCTCTTTCAATCCTCTTTCCATTTAACTATCATTCTTATATTTGTTGGTCGTTTCCACGTTAGTTGTGATTTAGAGATGTCAATGTTTCTCACGGGTATAAGATTTCATGGAGTCGCACATCAAAAAGAAGGGGATAGCGAATGAATAATAATTAGAGATGGATATAGAATGGGGAAAAATAATTGAGAATAAATTCAGGAATGGGGACAAGATTTTGAGGGAGGGCGGGAACGGATGGAGAAACACTATCATCCTACATCTGTCTCGATATACATATATTTTATATAGATGTACATAATATTAAATTTCTAAAGATAATTAGTCATTTTGTGGGTTTATTACTAACATTTGATTTCTTTGTGATTGGTTGTCATTCCCCTCATGGTATTTGTCCCTGTGCCTTCAAAACCGTTGTATTTTTCTGTCACTTTTTTCCCCCTTAAATTGCGCACGTAGTCACGTGTTGTCGTTTTTGCCTTATCTGTCACTTTTTTTTTATTTAATTTTTTAAGCTTGTAGTAATTGTGTTATGTGTTTTGTGCCTTGTGGTTTCTCATTCGTGTCACAAGGCTTTTTTTTATTATTAATGCAAACTTCCCCTTTTATGAATTAAAAAGCTTGTAATTGAGCTTTGTAAATTAGTTGGTGAAAAACAGCAATCTTTGACTCACATTTCTCAAAAACTCACCCAAAGCAGCATACTCTTGCATCAACCGAGCATCAAAGTTGCACCTAATAATCTGTGGAAAGAACAGCCAATAGCCGGTCAACGTCACAAACCCAAGCGTCAACGCACCGAGACTACCCTTGGCAACCACCACGTGTCGATTACAAAGGCCTTCTTCAAACCAATCTCGGCCGTCAAAACAGTTCCATGGAGAACAAAGAACCACGTGACCTCCCACGTGGGAGGCACACGGCACACGTAGTAGTAAAAGAGCTCGTGAACAAGGCCCACGACAAGGAAGCTACCAACGACAGCAGGGATTTGGGCCCATTTAAGGCCCACTAGTGGGGCCCATAAGCTGAGGGTTGGCTCGTATAGTGCAAGGCGCATGATACGGCTGACCGTGAGGTTCCACCTATTGACCCAAAAGTCTTGGAGTGAGGTTGAGAGGTATGGCTCGTTGAAATGTGGCTCGAGCTCAAGTCCCACCATTGCTCCAGCCATGGCTGCGACCACGGCTAAGATGGTCTCAACCAAGATGTAGACGAGAGGCCAATAGAGGACCAATAGTACTTTTGGGTGTAAATGTTCCTTACAGTTAAAGACAGAAATTAGAATGGCGAGAACCAAAAGCTTTATGGTAAATCTGAGATGCCATTTCTTCTGTCGTTTTTGTTTAGGACTTTTGTGAGATGGGTTTTCTCGGATATCAATGGGAAGACAAGAAATGACAAGAAAACGCCCAAACGACAATGATGGGTCTAGAGCTAGAGGCCCTTTGCCATAAGCAAAGAGTAAAAGCTTGAAGTTGGCAAGCCATGTAATAAAAAACGAAGTAGTAACTCCAAGATTTACGGAAGTGAGTTTAAGTGGAAGCATTAAAAAAAGGCACACAATCGGAATCACAAAAATGAGTCTTTTAGTACCTTTTGAGACTGTTTTTCCAACGACATAGCAATAAGACAGAGATGCCAAGACTAAAATCCATACCTTAAAGAGGTTGTTTATTTCGCCCTCCATTATTTCCTTTCCCTCTTATGATATTCTGTTGCCTATAGACATACAAATATGGTGAGGCTAATATCTTATGAGAATCTTGATCTTTCCACATATCTTCTACCTCAGCATGTATATCTTGAACTCCCACTTCTGCATCATCTCGGCTTTTCTGCATAATCTTTTTCTTTTTTTTGTTTTGTTTGAATTTACCAATAAATTGCCAACTAAAATTCCTAACAGTCAACTCTCACTTACAGGTCGGTAGCCGATCAACCAATACAAATAGGTTTGTAGTACTTTAACCATTTTAATAACTGCAACTTGTAATATAATATACATACATATACACACACACATACATAAATTCACATGCATAGTTGGCCCCGAATAATTTTATGAGCAAATAATATATTATGATAATCGTAAAACTTAGGAAACATAAGAAACAATTTGAAAATGCTTGCTGTGAACTTCCGCGAAAGTACACGAACCGATTTTGCTTTCCTGTTTGTGGCGTTTTCTCTTAAAGCTGCGTTTGAGAGGAGGGAAGGGATGAAAGTTAGACAGATGAATGTGAGTTTTTAGTTCAAGTTGTTTCAGATTGATAGGAAATTAAGCATAAGATGATTTTTTTATTTTTATAAAATTACATCAGTATAAAATTACTTTACGACCTATAATACGCTTGTCGTTGATTGCGGCACGTCGATTGGATTAGTTCTTTTCTTTTCCCTTTAAGTGCTGTTTTTGCATCTGGTCGTTCTCTATCCGTTGCCGTTTGAAAGTTCCTAGCTTTTTTCAAGTGTTATTATATTAGACATTTCTGTCATTTTTCTTTGTTTGATTGTTTTGGTTTCTCTCTCTCTCTCTCTTTTTTTTTTTTTTAATCCATTCTGTTGTTTTGTTTATGTCATTTTACATATTAGTTGTCCTTTTATCATATATTGTCGTTTTTTATTTTCTCTTTTCTTACGCTTCCTCAATCTGACGCGATGATTAATCTTTCTCACACGCACACTGACTTTTTATTTCGTTTTCAAAGGAGTGTCATTTATTTACATTTATTCATTAAAACTTATCAAGGCTGTCGTTTTCCCCTTATACCGTCGTTTCCCCTTATACCGTTTCTCAAGAATCAATTTTAATTTTTCTCCGTCGGGTGTTTCTATCGGATTCTATACCGTAGTTGACTTTCTTTGCCACAGACCTTGGACCAAGCCACCATGCATTCCACAGCTACTGTAATGCGGATCATATGGAGATGCTTTCAAGCAATATCTTCTCCACCCAAAGATTTTTTTTTTTGATCTTTTTTAAATAGATAGAAGAATGAGTCTAAAGCATGTTTGGTATACTATACAAGCATTCCGTATTATATTATTTAATAATAATATAATGTTTAGTTACATTTATATATTATATAATTTCATAAGAGATTCAAAATTTATACTAGATAGTGTGATATTTAATATGAAAAAAAAAAAATATATATATATATATATATATATATTAGACCGTATTATGCAATTTAACTTAAAATATCGTATTAAAAACATATAAAATATTTCACAAATATAAAGCCTCGGGCTTGGTTTTTGAGATCGACGTTGGGGTCGAGTTTCTTGAAGTTATGTTGGGTTTATATTTTTCAAAATTAAATTTTGACCCCTTAACTTTTTAAAAATATTTTTTTTGCCCCTTAATTTTTTGAAAATTATAATTTGACCCCTTTTATTTTTATTTTTGGAAAAGACCTCAATGTAGCAACTCTATTTTCTCTCTTGCTTTCTCCAAATGTTGGGTTCGGGTCGAGATTAAAGTCGAATTAGGTTATGATTAGGCTTAAATTTTGTCTTATTACTAACTAATACGTAAACATATTACAATGGTAAAAATAGTATAATATTTTATAATACTACCAACCAATGTATTGTATAAAAGTTATATAATGCAATACAATACTATACGATATAATACAATACAATACAATACGGTACACCAAACATGCTCTAAGAGACGTTTCTTTGTCAAAAAAAAAGTAAGCTTTGCTAATTGTTGTAGTAATTTTGACCCCACATGCAGCTGCAATTAACAGCAATTACATCATTACAAATTAAAAAATTCTAAACTCAACTGATGTGTTATATTAATTGTTACATCGGTTTTTCATAATTCACTGAATTTAATTAATGTCTGGTTAATTAAATTACTCACTCAGTGAGCATCACTCATCTTTAAATCTGCACGGTGAAATCTGTACGGCTAACAGAGCGCTATTTTCTGAAAACTTCAAAAAATTTTCCTGAAAAATAATGAATGGTGAACTCCCTTCAACACTGTAAATATTTTCTAATTAGAATTTCTCAAAACATTATACCTAAAAATCTAAGAAGCTCACAAAATGAATAGTCTTATATTTATAGAGTAGCTTACATAGACTTCTTCTCAAAGTCCGATAATTGATTTCACGTACAACTTGAATTTTCTTTGATTAAAATAGTAATTATCCTCTTTTTAAACTGCTGCTCTATGTGATATACCCACAAAATACTCGACGTTTATCCTTTTCGGTTTATACTTAGAAGAAGCTTATGCATAAAGCTCCATAAAACCAACCGGATATATATACATATATATATGATATATATATATATATATATATACACACACCTTTGTTAATCAAATATGCTTAGGAAAGCTTATAGATAAGCTTCAATAACTTCAAATTCCAAAAATCACATACAGATTCTCCTTTTACCAAATCACTTTTTCAATGCATATCTTCCTTAGCGTACATCTTCAAATACATCTGCTGCAACTCTGAATCACAAACTGATTATCCTGATCCTGATTTTTTATTTTATTTTGTTGCCATAAATTGCCAACTAAAAATCCCGACATTTATCTTTTTTTTTTTTTTTGGTATTACTGTCTTGTGTACTCTTGATCTTCATACAATAATATTCGTTAATACATATAAATTTTGACTGTGCAAAAAAGTGAATTGAAAAAATGACCTCACTTTTGTTGGTTGCACTAGCTAAAAATCAACGCTAAATTTTTAGCGACGCCTCTTAAAAAAGCACCAATTGCAGCATACTCTTCCAGCAACCTCACATCAGCGTTACACCTCAGGACCTGGGGGAACATCATCCTAAAGCAAGTCTCCATCACAAAGCCTACTGCCAAAATACCCGTCACCGCCCTCGGTGGCCACCACTTGGTGGTGCCAACTGCCTTCTTCACGGCAATCTCCGCTGCCAAACACGTGCCATGAAGGAGGAAGAACCGCGTGACCTCCCAGGTGGGCCACACCCGGGCCCAATAATAGAAAATGAGCTCATGCATGAGGCCCGAAACCGCGAACGTGCCAAGAACCGCGGGGATGGGGGCCCACTTGCGTCCCACTAGACCAGCCCACAACCCTAGGGTGGGCTCATACACCGCGGGCCGCAGTGCACGGCCCACCATGAGGTTCCATCTTCGGCCCCAAAAGTCTTGTAGTGAGCTAGAGAGGTATGGCTCGTTGAAATGTGGCTCGAGATCTAGCCCCCAAATGGCTCGAGCCGCGGCTGAGGTTGTGGCTAGGATGATGTCAAGAACGAGGTAAACGTAGAGGCAATAAAGAAATAATACCACTTTTTGATGCATGTAATTTTCGTAGTCCGAGAAACGAAGTACTAGGATGGCCAAAAGCAATACTTTTATTACATAGATAAGAAGCCACTTTTGGACTTGTCTAGATGTTCTAAGAAATGGGTTTTCCTTATTTAGGCCTGATATTGAATGTGACATCTTCTCTTTTCTAGGTTTAATAATATTTGATGGTTTTTGAGGTGGGTTTTCTTTGTCTTTGCCATTGGAATATTGTTTAGGGTTTATTTGTGGTGACGTTTTTTGAAGTGGGTTTTTATGTCGTATCTCAATAGGGAAACAAGCATAAGCAATGAAACGCCAAAGGGGAAATATACTTGTTGAGTTTGAATTGTCTATTAAAGGGCCTTTGCCAAAAGCGAAGAGCAAAAGCTTGAAGTTGGCGAGCCATGAAATGAAGAATCCAGTTATGCCTCCGCAATTTATGGAGGAGAGAGAGAGAGGAAGAAAGAGAAAGAGGAAGACTATTGGGAGAACAGAGAGGAGTCTTTTGGTGCCTTTTGAGACTGTTTTACCAACTCCATAGCAATAGGAAAGTGATACAAAGATTGCGACGCATACCTTGAAGAAGTTGCTTCTTTCGCCCTCCATTTTCCTCTTGATGAGCTGTGACTGTGTGATAACCTTTTTCTCTATCTTGTTACAAAAGTCTTGACTACTTTTTTTTTTTTTTGTAGAGAAAGAGGAAGATGATATCTGAAGATTTTGGGCCAACTTATGGACAAGTATGGTGATTTGTAAACTATATATATATATATATAATATTCCCTTGAAAAAAGTAAATACATATATATAATAGTCGGAAAATATATAGGTAGAGCCGGAAGACCATATTTATTGATTAGTACACGTTAAAATATGACTTGATCAGATCAATATTCTAAATTGGAAAGAAATGGATAATCTAATAGATATATATATATATAATATATAATATATTTATATATGTATGTATACATTCATATATATATATATATATATAGCTGGTCTTATATGTAGTGTAGATCCATCTTCCAACATCTTTTCCTTTTTCTGAAAAAAAAATAGATAGAAAAACAAAACTGAGGATGACGACTTTTGCTGATTAGTTTCTTAAATATTTATTGTAAACCAACCAAAAACAGTTGGCAGGATATGCTTTTAGTTGGCAAAAAAAAAAAATTAAGGAAAAAATCCCACATTGCTTTCTTTTTCCTCTTTTCTCCATATTCTTCGGAAAAGATAATAAAAAAAGAAAATGCATATATTAATGCTTAGAAAGGAACTGTATTTATATAGTAATGTACATTTTGGCGCTATATATGTGTATATCTTTAAGGAATTTGAGCGCTATAATTAAGAACCTAATCAAGGTTTAATATGAACTTGAACATTAATTAACTAAGTCAACTTTGATGAGATTAATTAATAAATAATACTTTAGAAGTAAAACCGTGCGAGACATGCATCCGAGTTTCGATCAAGTGAGATATTTTAGTTGCTATATCGAGTTTATTGAAAAACGGTAGATGTGAATCAATAATTAAGCAAACTAGAAAGCACTTTTTATTGCTATTTTCTGATCAATTAGCCTTTAAATAAACGTTTAGTATCCATTTAATTTCCTCAAAGAGGTCCATCAAAAAAAAAATCCTCCAAGAGGCATAATAAACGTGGAATATTTTTGTTGTGTTTGAAATAATCACGAAAAATTTAATACTGATGATACTAGGAGATATCCATCGAATTAATTAAAGCTTTCCTTAATTGAGCTTTCAATTATATCATTGAAAGAGTAGTAATCAAATGGTCGTTGACAACTCAATTTTGGTTATATTAAAACAAAAACAAAAACAAAACAAAACACACACACACACACACTCAATTTTGGTCATTGACATTAATTTTTATTTCCCATGTGCGAGTTGTTTTCTCTTGAAAAGCTCTCGATAAGAAAGTTTACAACAAATACACACACACACACACATATATGTGTGTTTATTATTATTATTATTATTATTATTATTATTATTATTGTTATTATTATTACTTTTTGCTGAAATTATATATATCTGTGGCACAATATCAATATTTTCCCACTATAAAACATCAAGTGAAGACTCTCAAATGTTTTTAGACTTACTCAACCCAATTAGTGATCATGTCGGTTTAGATCTAAGTCAAGTCACCATCCACCATCCATGATCTCATTATAAACTCGAAACTAATGGCCTTAAGAAGATTCACATTTTTTTTTTTTTTTTGAGAAAAAGTAAGTAATTTTATTAAACATCCAAATCAGCTACACAAGCAATACCAACAAATTGGGGACTAAAATCAGCCAATTCAGTTTTTTATGATTATATGTTGAGATTGTTGGAGTAGATTCACATTATTATAACACCAATAATGTCTAGTGGCGAAGTCTTAAAACTAATTTAATTGGATGTGGTCCTTATTGCTAATCATTATAAGATCAATTTGTGAACAAGAAACCTCACGTGCTTTTCCTTTTTCTTTTCTCTTCTTGGTTACAACCAATACATTGATAGTTAGGATAAACCTTTCAAATGTGGCAAGTGTAGTGCCCACCATGATAGGTTGGGTTTTCAGTTCAGTTATATGTTATATACAATAGTTGTGTGTTGAGATTTCTCTCTCTCTCCCTCTCTCTCTCTCTCTCTCTCTCAATCTATCTATCTATATATCTGTCTATCTATTCTCTCTCTCTCTCTCTCTCTCTCTCTCTCTCTCTCTCTCTCAATCTATCTATCTGTATATCTATCTCTCTCTCTCTCCTCCTCTTTTTCCTTTTTTCCCTTGAAACTTGATAAGATATATATTAGATATACAAGGGAGAAAATGTAAGCAATATGTGTAACAAAAAAGTATAGCCAGGTGCGGGCACATAATCTATATCAAAGAAAAACAATTTTACGATTATCTTGAAATTGAGATTAGACATGATGACCCCCGCAATTTTCGGTATTAAGTATTAGCCTTCCAACTTTATAATGACCTGCAATTACTTATAATATATGCTTCAGATCAGGAATCTTCGACTTCTTGCTGTTAATATTAATTGTTACCATTATTTTGGTTAATTACTTTCAACTTTCAACTACTATATGGCTCAAAGGCCAAAGCATTATGATTGTGGAATTAATTTATTAGTTAGAAGAAATCGATTGCAAAAAAAAAAAAAAAGAAAAAAAAAAAAAAAGAAAGAATGAAAAGTGATTCTCCTTTAATCAACCAATGTTGCCAACATATTTTCTCCATCTTTTAGTTGACTTGACATTTTTTTTTATTCATGTATCTATACTTTTTGTTGCCACCAAGTGGAAGGTATGATTAAAACTTAGTAATATTGTTTTAAAATTAAATTGCATCATTCATCCTTTTCCTGTCGAATTCTTCACCTTTTTACAATCCCCCGCGTTTTTTTTGTCTAATTTATATTACGTAAATAAAGAAAATTTAAAAAGCTCACTAGGCTCTAAATACTAGGGCCGGTAATTTTGAACATAACACGATAAAACGATACGAAAACGACACGAGATAAATAGGTTTAGACCGCATGATTATTAATTGGGTTGTTAACGGGCTTATACGAATAACACGAAATAAATGGACTGGAATCATGCCAACCCGCTTAACACGCTTAACCCGTTTAGTTATACGGGCCGTTATCAGACCGATACGGCCCAGCCCGACCTATTTATTAAGCCTATATATATTAGACAAAACCTACTTCTAACTCAGTCTCTGGAAACTAATTTTAGTTTTTAAAGCATAGTTGGGCATTCAACCTCAAGACTCAAAGAAGACATTTTCCTATATTTATTTTATGTTTTATGCACTTAAACATTCAAATGCTTGGTTATGTTTTCAAACTTATTTAAATGTACTTGGTTATGTTTTCAAACTTCTTTAGATGTTAGGTAATTAGTGTGTTTTGAAACATATATACTTGATAATCTAGTAGTATCATATATATGTGTGTGTTTGATATTTAGATATTTTAATGTGTGTTGGCCATTATGCATGATTTTACTATAAGTGATATTAAGTAGTCAATTAATATAGTTTTTAATACAATATAAAATTCCACTATTTTTGCTAGTTGGGTCATAAATGTGTTTTTTTCGTGTCAGCCCGTCACAGCACATTTAGTAATTGTGTTCCCATGTCATGTCGTATTAACGGTGTTATTAGCATTTCGTATTCGTATTTAGATTTTTGATACATTTATTAATCGTGTCATGTTCGTGTTCACTATAATCGTGTCGTACCGTAATCGTGTCGGTCCGAATACGACACGTAAACATAAATTGCCAACCCTACTAAATACAATTGTCCATATATATAATATAATGCTGCATAATAACATCAAATGCCCTCTTTAGTTTACATACATATGAATATTCTACTAATTCTGTCACATTTAAGTTTTTTTCTCTCTCCATATCACTATTGAAAACTCTAACACTATTTGGTAGAGAGGGAAAGTGGCAGAAAAGAAATCAAAGAGTGAAGGGTTCTTTAAGGAGGAAATGAAATTATAAGTTGTTTGGTTGAAAGGAAAATATGGGAAAAGAGACGAACAAAGGGATTAACGTATTCCATCATCCAGCTAAAACGACTAAAATTAGAGAGAAGTTTTAGCGATAAAAATTATTAAGAAAATTTATAACTACTTACGTGAAGCTAGAGTAAGATTATCTATTTGTCCTCATCTTAAAACCGAATTATTATCCATTTATTAGTAAAAAGAGTCTTCTTATATATAAAAGAAAATTAGTAAAATAGTGATTCAAAAATTTTTTTTTTTTTTTGCTGAAAATAGTGATTCAATTAATCAGCTATGATTTCTTTCTCCTCTCCTATTCTACTAAAGAGATACGAAAAACACAACTTTTTTCCTCTCATTTATGTTGTTCAAGGTCTTTTTTAAGGATCAATTAAAAGTCAAATACATCAAAATGCCTGTTCTACATAACAATTTATATAAAATATAATAAAAAATGAATATTATGCTCATACACTTTCAGCAAGTCTGGCTATATTTTTTCTCTTTTTTTTTTATGTTCTCATATGTATAATGTCAAGGCTCGAGAATAAATAATACATTTTGATCATTTTTACTATAAATTATAATTCAAATTAAGATACAAATCCCCTAACCAATCAACTCATAAATTCAATAACTATAAGTAAATAAAAACCATATATTCCAGAAAAAAAAAAAAAAATCTACCACAATACCGATATAAGAGATGCCTACGTGAGTACCCTCCATTGGGATTCCAAGTTGGTGGGCCCCTTTCCAAGACAGAACACAACCCAACAAAATCCTCTCTTTCTCTCTCGTCTTTCTCTCTCCTCTTTCTCCCTCCTCTTTCTCTCTCCACTGTTCTAGAAAAACACATTACTAATAGTCTAACCAACAAAATCCTCTCTTTCTCTGTCGTCTTTCTCTCTCATCTTTCTCTCTCCACTTTCTCTCTCCACTGTTCTAGAAAAACACATTACTAATAGTCTAATTGGATATTTGTCAATCCCCAAAAAAAAAAAAAAAAACATCTTGGTACTTACTACCCAACTCAACCACAACCAACTCATCAATCTCTTTTCCCTTTCCTCGACTTACAACAACAATAATATGTTTCTCTGAAAAACATCATCTTCTTCTTCTTCTGAGAAACAATCAAATTCTCCAAAACCCAGAACCCAAAATCCAAAAAAGTTAAGATCTTGATCATGAAATACCTTTCTTGCAGAGCCGAATCCTCCATAGCCACCGCCAATTCCCAAACCCCCACTTCTTCTTCATCAAACGCCATCAAGATCCAACATTTCGTCTACAGCGACCTCGAAGCCGCCACCAATGGCTTCTCCGACCAGAAGCTTCTCGGCAAGGGCAGCCACGGCTCCGTCTACAAGGCCGTCCTCGGCGGCCGCCATTTCGCCGTCAAACGACCCAGCCGCCATCAAATCGTCGCCAACGAGGTCGACAACGAGATCGAGATCTTGTCGAAGATTCAAAGTCCTCGTCTTGTCAATCTGGTAGGCTTCACCAACGATTCTAATGACAACAATAATAGGCTTTTGGTTGTTGAGTTCATGAGTAATGGGACGCTTTATGATGTTCTTCACACTAGCCCTAGACCCCCAAATTGGGGCCGGAGAATTCGCTTGGCTTTGCAGACTGCTAAGGCCATAGACACTTTGCACTCGCAAAACCCACCTGTAATTCACCGAGATATTAAGTCTGCTAATGTGTTGATTGACCATAGTTTCAATGCCCGGTTGGGTGATTTTGGGCTTGCTTTGCGTTGCCATGTTGATGATTATAGGCTTAGGTCAACGCCCCCGGCCGGGACTATGGGGTATTTGGATCCTTGTTATGTGACCCCGGATAATTTGAGTACTAAACTTGATGTTTTCAGTTTTGGGATTTTGTTGTTGGAGATTATTAGTGGGAGGAAAGCTATTGATGTTGGGTATTCCCCGCCTTCCATTGTGGATTGGGCGATCCCGTTGATTAAGAGAGGGAAGTTGGTTTCGGTTTATGATCCGCAGATTGCGCCTCCTAAGGACCCCATTGTGAGGAAGCAGTTGGCTGTGATTGCAGCCAAGTGTGTGAGGTCTTGTAGGGAGCGGAGGCCCGCGATGAAGGATGTCGTTGTTTGGCTTACCGGGTTGAGCAAGTTAGTGCCTTTGCATTCGTGGAATGGCTTCAACAATCCGTGTATGATGGTGGAGCATGTGGGGCGCCCAGTTGAAGTTGCCAGTGCTAATAATAATGCGTATTTGAATTGGTTGGAGGGTGGTGGAGAGGGGAATTTGGATACCGTGGATGCTAAGTATGCGAGGCAAGTTATGAGGAATTCGCGGAGGGTTTACTCCGATTTGGGGTTCAGTAGCAACTTGATGGAGCTTATGGCCGGTACAGACGAGGAGTCTGAATTCAGGGGAGAGGGTGATGGGGTTGAGCCTAAATCAAAATCCAGGAATCGGGTTCCTAGTTTGAAATTTGGTAGTGAGAGATTTGGCATAAGAGGGAAAAGTCAAGGCCAAATTCGCGGTGACAACAGAGATGTCTTTCATTTAAGGCGAAACCATTCAGTTGGGGGAGCTTTGGAAATATGTGCCAGAAGCGATGATATAATCCCACGTACAAGTTTTCATTCTCACGGAGCTGATGATTTGTAGTTTTCCGTGTAAATTTCATTGAACAGATTGAAAAGATTGAGCAAAGCTCGGATGTGTAAGCGTTTCTTGCTTGCAAATTTTTCATTGACGTATATTTGTTTTTAGCTCATTGTTTGTGGTTTGATTGATGAACTGAACATGGAATTAATCTTTTCTGTGTTCAGGAATTAATCTTTTCTGTGTTCATTTGATTGTTAATGTGTTGTTTCACATATTTGAAGTTACAAGGGCACATTGGTGATATATCACCATCATGGGTTTGTGCCTTGTGGTCCCTGTCCTGTTCTTGTTCTTTTGTCGTTTAACACTGATGTATTACATTGTTCTTTTTTGCCCCCAATACATTGAGTTGATTCAAAATTTATCTAGTGCATATAAATCTCATGTTCTGTTCTTTGAACTTTTGCTTTCCCCTGTTGAAAGAGTCTTAATACTATTCCTTTTTTTGTATTTTCTTCCTTTTTTTTTTTCTACCTTATAGAACGGGAAATGTAACTTTAGCATTATTTGACTAGACAATTGTATTCTTTTACTCTATAATCTCGAGATTCTAGGACCTTCATGATTAGTCAAGTCAAAAGTCGTCTTTTTGGGAAAAAAAAAAAATGGAGGTGAAGATAGATTTAGGACAAGAATTCAGAATGTACTACTGAAAGAGATGATGTTATATGTGTTCTTTAAATGATGTCCGAAAACCAAGAGACTATAACATATCTTTTCAGAAGTTACCCTGATTCAATCTTGCACATATGGACAAAATATGGGAAACCGCGAAAACTTCTACAAAAATTTTGATTTGCTCAGATTTGAAAACTGAGGAGCACACACTAGAGTAGTAAGGCTTCTTTGCAGCTGTCTTAGGTCCACTTTGGGATTGCTGAGCTTTTGAAACAAATACTATTTTTACTTGTATCAAAAGCGAAAACAGAAACAAAAATTCAAGTTAAAAAATTCAGCTTATCAAAGTAATTAAAAAAAAAAACCGCATTGCTGTTCGTACAAAGTGGTACACTTTACCAAACACTAGAGTCGCATTATTTTTATGCAAACTTACATAGTACTTTTAATGTGGTTGTTAAAATAATATTTCACTCAAATATAGCTTACTCTTTGTTGAAAAAGAATCATTTTAATACTGAAAATGAAAATGTGAAACGACAGGAATTTCCTCTCCAAGAAATCCGAGCAAAATCTTACTGCTGGGTGTGTGTTTGATTGTTTACCACTATCGAATTGAACTTTCGAAGTGGACAGTAGAATATAGACACGACATCTTCACGCGTTTTGTGGAAAGCAGTTTGTATTGCTCAAGAAAACGACTGCACAGACACCAAGTTAACTTCATTCAATTAGAGTCACTGCAGCAGCCAAATATTCTCTCTTTAAATGGGACAAGATTTTGTCTAATTCCTCTTGTTATTATTGCTTTTGGGACTGAAGAAAACAGACTAGTAAACAAGACAATTTGAGCTGAAAAACTCAAAAGAACAAGAAATAAGACTCTTACCAAAAAAAAAAAAAGTCAGAGTAGATGCCTAGATGGTGTCGTTTAGCGGCTGACAGCAAGCGAGAAGATGTATATTCATCATATTAGGCTTTACGACTCACGCGTGTTCTTACTACAGTATGCATTTGATTCTCATTTTCAAACTTGTGTGTGTGTGTGTTTTTTTATAGAGCTATATGAAGACAAAATATATATTTTTTTTTAATCTGGGTGAGAGGATTCAAACTCTTCAATTGTGAAGTTAGGCATAGAATTACCACATAAACAAAAATAAGGACTACCACAAGTAATGATCCTTCAAATCCAACACTCAATCGTGCTCTCCTCCCCCAACGACGGTGCCGGCACAAACCACTATTTCCCAACGACTAGAAAATTCAGAGCCTGAGGAACTCCATCAAAATCTCTGACCTTGTCTCCCAGACCTCTTAGGATAAGTATGACGTATTGATAGGAAGATGATCAACTCATTGCAGCACCCAAAAAAAAAAAATACTAATATAAATGAAATAAAATAAAATAAATTCTTATACTGAATGAAACTAAGATCTTAAAAAAAAAAAAAAAAAAAAAAGAGAGAACCCATATATATGTAGGATTAAAATCAATAAAGTAATCTCATAACAACATCATGTCTTTCTTGAGTTTTCCCCAGTGACAAGTTTCATTAGCCCATGAAGTGAATCAAAAGAAGTAAAAGCATGTTCTCTAAGCATGGATCAAATAAATCAACTTCTCTGAGCATCACTTCTCATTAGAGGGTATATATGGCATGCATGTTGCATCCCACCCCTAGTGAAAAAAAAAAATGGAAAAATTCAATTCTCAAACTTAGGTAGAAAAATAATGATTGAAGTGGTCCTCGGTGCCACGTAAGTTGTTATTTCTTTAATTAATATTTACTCAAAACTTGTACGGCCAATTAGTATTAAAAGTTGTATTTTACTAATATCTCCATGGAAGAAGAATGATAGAGCTCTTTAAATCAAATTTGAGCTATCTATTTTTTTTTTTTTTAGATTGTTACCCGGACCCTCTATCTGTTTATGTTTCTTGATAGAGGAAGCGTTATAATGAGAAGGAAGATCCCTTTTTGAAAAGAAAGATGGAACAAAGGTCAAAGGCTCTTTTGTTTCCTCGAGTTATGAAGTTATTTGTCGTATGTATTCTGTAAATTATCGGTTTTTCCTTCTTCAACGGATCACTTTAGACTTTTTAGGTTCACAAATCCACTAAAATTGCCCATTTCAAGTACGTGTGATAAGTACACAAATTTATACTTTTAATGTTCATAATTATCAAATTATTTTATTAAATTTGTGATTTTAATTTTAAATATTCTTAAATTTATAGGATTTAATTTTAATTGGATTTATTTTATTTTTCAGGTTTTTGAAGAAAACAATTGGATTTGGGCTAGTTTACCAAGCAAAACCCACAAGTTGAGCCCAAGAAAAGCCCAATTCGGCCCAAAACCCATCAACCCATCATCCAGCCTAGCCGAGCCGAGAAGCCGCGAGCCGAGCCAAGAAGCCGCGAGCCATCCCAGCCGCCACATGTCGACCACTGACGCACCGCAGATCTGTGGGGCCCAGCTGTCCCCTAGCAAACGTGCGCCTGGCGCGCATGGATCCTCTCCCCGGGCGAGTCTCCTCCACGCGCGCGTCACCCGGATCTCCTCTCCTCTCCGCGTGGGTCCCGCGTTCCAGCCTCCCTCCAGCCACGTCTCGCCACGCGTCCCAGTGGGGTCCAGCTGCTCCCTGACGTACGCGCGTTTTGCGCGCATGTTCCCTCCCCGCGCGCGTCCAGTCTCCCTCCGCGTGGTCTAGCTGTGCACCACGTCTTCTCCCACGCGCGAATCAACTCACGACACATGTCCCACTCTTCAGCCACATTTGTGATGGTTTTTCTCCCCCGATTAAGCCTTGTAACTTCTAAATTAGGATCCGTTTTTTAGGTTTTTAGCATTCTCAAAACTCTATAAATAGGGCCATTGTCAAGGTGATTGGAGGT